TATATATATATATATATATATATATATATATATATATATATATGTTTACCATCAACTAAGTCTGAAAATGTTGATGGATCAACACTGGCATGCTATTAAATTAGTTGTTGTTTATTACTTTTTGAATAATACTGATTAAAGTAATGTCTGTGTTCCACAGAGCAAATATTTTAAACAGCCAAGGAAAACATGCAGTAAGACTAATGTTACAGCAACGGATTGAAAATATTTTTTTGGTGGTTTACAAATGATATATAATCGGGACCAGATTATCACATGGGCCAGTGGAACCAGGTCTCTGAGCAGCTATAGCCTCAGGCTTCTACCCTTCAAAGAAGAACAGCATATATACATGAGAAGATATTCTACAACTTTAAGGATATTTTTAACAATGTAAATTATACAAAAATGATCATCATATACTATGTTTTTATATTGGAGAGGATATATCCAGGTTCTTTGTGCCCAGGGTCCCAAAATTTCTTAATCCAATCCTGTGTGTGATAACATAGTCTCACTATGAACTGATTTACACAGGACGGTATATGTCAGTAAGGCAAAAATGGGGTATGACATGTTGGGAGAAAAAAATATATATATATATATATTGCATCAAAACACTCTACCAATACTTCTTTGGTGTTGCATGAAAATATGTTTGGCTTTAGTGTCTTTACAATTATAGCACCAATCTACCCACCCACCCCCAATTGCATGCATACCAGCACCTTTTCCAAACCACTTTAAATACTGTTTACATGTTAAGAGAATTTCCACTTGCCAGCTGTAAAGGACAATCAAAATATTAAGTTCATTCTTTACTCATTGGAAGTACATCATGAATGACAGCGAAAGAAACAAATTCAGTCCTATGTAGTTTAGAATGGTTGGGCTTTAACTGTGGAACAGTACACTTGTTCTTCAAAACTAGCTCATTAAATATTTAAAAAGGAATACTACTCTACCTTGAGGTTTAAATTCCTTGCATAATATCAAAGCTATGTCTTTCAACCAGACATTCTGGGTGGAGATAATGTAACGTTGTCCATTAGCTGAAGGTGTGGTCATTGCCTTCAGATGAGCTTCAGCAACATCACGAACATCACAAACACTTAGGTTTATTCTTGGAACCATTGGTATTCCCCTTTCTAGGAGTTTTTTTACAATCTAAAAAAAAAAGTGTTTGTTGCTATTTATTCCCAGTTTCTTGTAAGATTTGTATGCCTTTCTCAAATGTTTTTGGTTATATCTTCATTGTAACTTTCTTGTTTAACTAAGATACCAATTTTACAGAAAATACCACTCTTTAGTCATATACACTGTAAAACATGAAACAAACAGCTAATTAAGTAAGAGCTTTAAACATTCCTAAAACACAAATGAAATACTCATAAATCAAAGGTAAAAATTTTTGCTTCTTAAAGCCACTAATTAAAATACTTGTAAAACAATAAGAGTACAAATAGATAAATGTAAAAATAAGTAAAAAAAATCTGAAAATTAGAAATTAGTTCATAGTAAAAAATTAACTTACCAAAGACAAAAATAACCACTTTATGCTATATAATTTTACCACCAAAAAGAAAAAATTGATATCAATCATACATTTTTCAAAATATTTTAAGACCCTTCTTGAAGTAATAAATTTACATTCTTTCAGAAAGTGCATAGACTAGTCCAATTTTTAGAAAATCTAACACCCTCAGGCATTTTTGAGTGAAAGTTGGCAGATAGTTTGTTCTGAAAGATTTTGGATGCTGAATCCATCTCTGCTATCTAACAAGTTGTATCTGCTTAACAGAAAAAAACACTGAAAAACAAAATGGACACTAAAAAATAAGACCAGAGCTAATTTTGTATATTACTGTTAAGGTAAAACTTTTCAAACTTTTGAAAGTCATGTAGGGACGATCTATGTACAACTGTATCATCCCTATATT